TGAGAAATTATCCGTTTTGGCGTAAAGGCCTCATGATTTTATCCCATTGCAGTAACTTCGCATGAGGTCACCCATCTCAAAATTTTTCTGAGATAAGCATACTTAACTTTAGTTTTTTTTTTTAATAAAATTCTAACTATTCCAACAAAATATCCCTCAGTGTTTAAAAGTTTATTTTTCTTTTCTTAAGAGTTTCGCAATCTCTTTCCACTTAAGTAGCTGATATCCTTATCAGTATCTTTATACAAGATTCATCTACCAGATATATAAGATTCTAGAGGTGGCTCCTACAAGTTCACGTGGTGACTCCCTCCACATAATATCTCTTTTATTGATGGTTGAGAAAATTAATGAAAGGTTTAAATGACCCAATCCTTCTTTTAGATATTAGAGCATCACATATCTGGTTGTACTGGTTCGATTTGAAAGGCGGATAGTTAATTATGGGATATTACACTTTGCTCATAATGACAATCTACAAACAAGATATGATGCAACATCTTGAGTTTATAAACCCTTGCATCACCTAATATGGCGCATCAATTTCCCAAGTTCTCTTAACTCAATATACTCTGACCTAATCGGTTACTCTCTAACTACATATAGATGGAGTTATAGGCACAATGACCTAACACATTTAAGTTCTACTATGCAACATGCCAATAGTGTTCATCATAGTGATGTTCACTCATTATGTAATTTGTTAAGAAGATTTATGCTTCTTGAAGCTATTTTGCCTCAAATAATAAACCATTTAGAGATATTTACTTAAAAGTACTAATATAATAATATTAGAGTAAGTACTTGATCCCCAAAAGAAGCATGGAACGATTTTGATAGGTTCATGAAATCCATTAAAGATTCACCAAACTGTTCCCAAGGACAACCATCATCTCATTATAGCATCAATGCAAGAAGAACATCATAAACTAACTATAATCATGTTGCCTATCTCTATTTGAAGATCAAACATTATGTAATACTTTTGCTAATTCTGTATTAATGCTTATTAATGCTATTTAAGAAAGCTCACAACCTTATCATTACAAGTAATGCTTATTATTGCTGTGTAATGTGTATATGAATTAACATATGTGCGTCTGATGTCATGCTCCCATCCTTGAATTGCCTAAGAAGCACTATATATACCAATGACCCTCTAGCTATTTAAGGATGAACTATTTTTGTAATGATAACTTACCAAGTCCTCATCTTTTATTTTCCCCCACATTCACGAGTTATTCATTATCTATGTAAATTTTTTTTTTCTTTTAACTTTATATGAGTGAAAATGTATGAGTAAAAAAAAAAATCTCTCACATAAATATATTTCACACAAAAAAAAATTGTTAACTCTCTATTTTTGTGTTATTATGCTCTCTCTTAAAAATTTTCAAATTGATCCAATCATCCAATCTTTAGTATGAATATATTCCTTATTGTTTTTGGGGGGACTCATGTTTAAGAAAATATAAGAGTAAGTGAGCATTGAGCAACTAGACGCAAGGTATATATTGTCAAGGCTTGATGGAGCTTGTGCAAGTGATGATAATCAGTTTATTGGAATTAAAAAACTGTCCATCTTCATGTAAGAGTAGTTCAAATTAGAGGAAACATGGCCCCTAAAAATGACCAAGTCTTATATAGATTTTTAAGATATATTTGAAATCATTAAGTCTTGAAGAAATATGCTATAGTTGAATGTTTCAAAGAGCAACAAAATACTACACCTTAGTTGGAAGATAATGACGACAAATTCTCAATTTATAAGGAAATCAAGTATCTTTTGATACTTATGCCTTCTAAGGTTTTTGAGAAGTGGAATATTTTTGTAAAAAGAATTAGAATATATTTTGATATGGGTATTGATAATATATCTTATGAGGCTTATGCCTTTTGAAATTTTTGGGAGGACATTGATGTGCGGGCTATGCTATGATTTTGTACACGAGTTAAGATTACAATAATGCGCAATGAAACTATGTTTATATTTTCTTTGATATAAAAGCCAACTAGATATGCAAGTATATATGTTGATCAAGTAACAAAGTGATTGAGAGAGTGTCGATCCCATGAGATAGTGTTCTTCTTATATGCAATCAAACTAGTATTGTTTACTGCTTATGCAAGATTTATTCTACTGAATGAGAATTGGAGGTTTTTAAGTTTTTGCCACTGACAAAGAATTCACAAGAAAAATATATTCTAATATAAATAAAATATTTTGGACTAATGTATACAAAATAATAAAGTTTTTTCAATGAGACTTTTAAATTTTGATGTGGATTAGAGCATGTGTATCCCAAGATCTTTGTCAAGCTTGTGGAGGTGAAAAAGAAGGTTAATAGCCTTCATATAGTGCTATTATCTCTATAGAACGGTATAACCTAAATATTTTAAACATCATATATGTCTAGGCATATCGATATTCCATTTTAATACTCTTATTTATTATAATATTCCTCCATCGGGTAATATATCACACTAGATTTTAACTATACACATGACCATTATGTGTATTAAATTAAGAACATGATATATTGAAAACACCCATTAATTTATTGAAGGCATGCACAAGAGTCTAAATTACTACTTGCAATATATTTACATCATTAGTCCAAAACTTAGAGACTAGTCATGCAAAGATAACAGAAAAAGCAAACACATCTTCATTTCAATCCAAAAGAAAAGTTACAATAGAGATAGAAAATATAAAACCCGGAAGGTACAATAGATCTTCTCCACACTCCTTCCTCCTATAGTAGGCGTGTTTTATACAATATCGGCTAAAGATCTAAAAATGAATATATATTGCATTTTCCTAGCCTCACTTGGACTTTACTCCAATAGAGCACTAAACAAATAAACTCAAAAGTACATAACTCTACTGAAAGTGACAGAACTCCCAAACAAAAGAACTAAAAAAATATTTAAAGTGTAAAAATGGCCTCAAGTGCCACGGTGTTCAACATGGTAGCGCTACGGTGTTGCTAAATAAACTAGCACCTCGATGCTTAAATATTATTTGATCCACTGTGGCGCAAGGCTAAAATAACACCGTTTTTGACTCAACCAGCGTACCATGGTTTTTGACTCAAGCAGCCCGTCGGGTCAACCCGAACCCGATTCGTTTTGAAATCGGATCGGGTCGAAACCGAATTTTCCGGGTCAGATTTTCGTGTCGTGTCAAATATTGACATCCATAATGGCAACTTATATTAACAATGCCAAAATATATTGTTATTAATGCTATTCAAGAAAGCTCACAACCTTATCATTACAAGTAATGCTTATTATTGATGTGTATATGAATTAACAAATGTGCGTCTGATGTCATTCTCCCATCCAATGACCCTCTAGCTATTTAAGGATGAACTATTTTTGTAATGATAACTTACCAAGTCCTCATCTTTTATTTTCCCCCACATTCACGAGTTATTCATTATCTATGTAATTTTTTTTTTCTTTTAACTTTATATGAGTGAAAATGTATGAGTAAAAAAAAAATTCTCTCACATAAATATATTTCACAAAAAAAAAAAAAATGTTAACTCTCTATTTTTGTGTTATTATGCTCTCTCTTAAAAATTTTCAAATTGATCCAATCATCCAATCTTTAGTATGAATATATTCCTTATTGTTTTTGGAGGTACCCATGTTTAAGAAAATATAAGAGTAAGTGAGCATTGAGCAACTAGACGCAAAATGAGAATTTTTTTACTTTTCACGTGCCATTTTTAACTTTTCACTCTCTCTCCTCTCATTTGGTTCTCAAAAAGTTGTTCTTCCAATCCTTCAGTATTTTCATTATCCAGGATTAGGAAGGGGTATTAGAAGTTCATCTACTTACTCAGCAATTAAAAACAGGTGAAGCATGTTGCGTCTTTGTTGCGCTTTTACTGTGTTTTATATGTGCTTTCACAATATTTTTTTGCTTTAATGGTATCATTTCTTATAACTATTATGTAAATAGTTATTTTCACTATACTTTCTTATTTCAGCTGATTTTGTGTTTTCGTTGCGCTGTCGTTGTGCTTTATCTGCATATTCGTTGTGCTATCAAGAGATATACGAAAGCACAGCCAAAGCGCATCAACAACGAGTTGAATGTGCGGAAAAAACACATCAAAAGCGCAATGGAATTGCAGAAAATAGCAGAAATAGTACTTTCACTATGCTTTTGGAGCATTTTTACTTTGTCATCGCTGAGTTTTAGCTGTGCATTTGATGTTCTTTTGCTACGTCTTTACCGCGCTTTAGCTGTATTTTTTGGCGCTTTTGCTTGTCTACCTAATATGCATTTTACATCTTATTCACCGAGTTTTTTTTTTAATGTTTTGCAAAAGGCTCCTTATTCTAGTCCAGTTACTTCTCTTTATTAAGTTTCATCCTTCAAAAATATTTGTGATTCATTTCTCAAAATAATTCACAAAAATTTTGAGAACACTTTGAGGACTCTGAGCATTCATCTGTTCTTGATGTTCATAGAAAAAGCACAATAGCATATTGCAAAGTTCTTCGATACTCATTATTTAAGTATTTATTTCTACACAACTTTTGAAACCCTTAAAACAACTTAATTTAACGTAAAAAAATTACCAATAAGTTGAAACCTACAATAGTTTCAACCAATTTAACTTCCGATTGTTGAAAGTTTCTATACCTCTTTTCAGCATTCGTGTCCAGTGAGCATTCCATCTCCGTGAATATCTCAAAGTTCTTTTGTTTTTTCTTTCTGAGCAGGTATAAGAAGTCCTAAATATTTGGATTTGGGAGCTCTCGTTGGTTTTTTGAAGCGCAAACCCTAAACCCTATCGCTTAAAAGGTAAAAATATTTAGGATCGATCGGACTAACAAGACATAAAGAAAAAATAATACGCATAAGAAAAATCCACGTGTCTCCTCTAATATCTCCTCCAAATAATTTCTGGAGACGTAGACCAGTCCGAATTTAGGTCAAAATTATTATTATTATTTTTTAATTTTGTTAACAAAAAATTTCCCGTTATTTTACGCTTCCCGCCATTTCTGCGCCTCCTCGACGACAGTGTCAGGGTTTACGCATCTTCATCCGGCTCATTGATTTGGGAATGTTAGAAAGCGTTCCTGGGTTTGGAGAGGAGAAAGGGCCAGGGAAGTGATGGGGATCCAGGGTTTGCTGCCGCAGCTGCGATCAATCATGCAGCCTATCCATGTGCAGGATCTTCGCGGGCAGACCGTGGCGGTGGATACTTACTCCTGGCTTCACAAGGGCGCTATCTATTGCAGTCTCCAGCTTTGCAAGGGCATACCTACCACTAAGTAATTATCCGCATTCTTCTTTTTATGTGGTTTTGTGATGAATTAGGGTTCTTTAGTTTTCTGCGTGTTTTTTATTTTTTTTTGATGGGTTGTGTCATTATCTGAATGAAACCCATTTAGAAAGATATGACTTGAAGTTGCTGAAATGATTTTACTTTGGAAGTTAAGTGGTTTCTCCTGAAATGTAAGGGCGTGGGAAGGCTTTGGATATTGTCTGTTAGATTCTTGGGGTTTCTTTTTTCTCCTTTTCCTTTAATTTTTTTTTGTTAAATAATGGACAAGTCTATCTTTTGCATATTTCCTAATATTCAGTACGTTTGAATTCTTGATTCACAGCTAACATGTGAAGGATAGACTTCAAAACAGGCCATCTCTTGACTAGATGAAGGGCCATTCATGGGGAACTTATTGAGGAGTATAGTTTTTTAATTGTTTTAAAACCCTTTGTATCCGTTCATGGATTGCTCTTTTGATATATAATTCTTTTAGCTTTTTGTTTTTTTAAATGTTCTTTTTTTTGAAGTTATTGTGTTTTACTGAATTTTGGCATATTCAAGTTTCATCACTTCCTTGCTATTAGGAGTTGTCATTATTGACAACTTCATTTTAGCCTTACTTGGCCTCTGCTTCGAACAGGCAAATCTGTTCCTCACTGTTTTTCAATGCAAACTATTACTCGGAAACTATGGGGACGCCAAGGGAATACTATTGCAGGGTTTGAAGAGGGGTTGCTTTACAGTCATAAATTGCATTGTAGAGATTCAATTTTACTGATTCAAACTTGTCAGAATGGAAACAATCTAACCATAGTCAAGCGCATACTGTAATGCTATAATGAGAGCATTAAATTTAATATGGAATCACGAGTATGTTGTGTTGCAAAGTATACATTGAAGAGAAAACACAGACAAAGAAAAAGAAGCTCATATTTCTGTTGTTTTGTTTTAATATAGCCTATTGACGTAGAAAGGGAGCGGCTTTGCTAGGGAGAGGTGGAGATCCTCCACCCAATGTCTTCAAAGTTTCCGGGTCCGCCATTCATGGGTGCTTGCCAACAAATCTCCTTAGCACTGGGTAGGCCTCTTGAGTGGTGGCAAAGAGAAAGAAGTTTCTCTTGCACTTGAAGAGGAAACAAACTCCCAACTTCGTTCTCTCAAAATCTGAAAACAGTTTCAGACCTTTAACAAAAATTTGAGAGAAATTCTCAGATTTTAGTGGACAAGGATCTAGAGATAGTTGAGGGAGAAGTCTATCCTTAATGGAGAAAAGAAAGACTGAGAAGAAATTCCAATCCACAGGTCTTGACTAGAGAAGTTTGCTGAAGCAATTAGGAGAAGAGGGGGACGGCGGGACAACATGGAGATTTAATGGATTTCAATTCCCCAAAATCAGTGATTTGATTTGGGGAATTAGAATATGAATTAAAGCTGAAGAAAATGTACTGGGCTGCAGATTTGCCTTCTAAATCAGTAGTTCTAAGGGCCTTCAGATGTCGAGGATGCAAGTCAATAGCATAGAATTTCCGCTGCTGCTTTGGGGAGCAAGGGAGTTTATGATTTGTGGGCTGTTGAAGACATTAGTAGAGGAAAACCAACAGAAAAAACCTGGGGGAAATTCGGCCAGCAGGGAATACGGGAAGGAAATTC